CAGCTTGGGCCCGATCCCCCAGGGAGCGGGCCTAAGCCAGCAGGTGGACATCCTCCAAGGGGTCCCAGACTGCAAGAGGGCATAGGCCAGGCTGAAGGCCCCCCTCCCTGAGTGCACAAATTTTTGTGCACTGGGCCTCTAGTATATAGATAACTAAGATTAGTTCTCTGAGCCCAGACACAAGGCATCACTCGCACTAGGTTTAGGAAGGGCACTCACGTGAGTTGGTTGATGGTGTGGTAGACGTCACAGGGGTCAAATTCAACTGGGAGATGTCAAAGTCATCACAGTCATCTGTATCCTGTGCCACCCCAACTTTGCTGAAGTAACTGGAGAAGGCCTCTGAGGTACAGGTGAGGGAGGGTTGGTCGGGTTTGCGGGAGGGCACGGGTGGAGGCTGGGCCATCTGGAAATCCTTAAACATTTCTTTCCCCATTTTCTGTCTGGGCTTGTCGGTCTGTGGACTTGACTTGGCGGAGTCACCCGTGGCTGGGACGGTTGCGAGGGGAGTGAGGGGACCTTGGAACATGGCGGCTGGCAAAGGCATAACAGTTTGTGTGGGCATGAAGGCGGCTGGCGGAAACTGCCCGGCCACAGCTGGCCAGGGCTGCTGAGTGGCAGGGAAGAGACCCGGCTGGCCCCATGCGATGGGCTGAGCCCCTGGCATCACCTGAGCGACTGGTGGCTGAGCACCCATGGCGATCTGCTGTTGGACGAGGGGCTGCTGGCCCCAGAAGGATGGGAGGACGGCGCCCATGGCAACGTAACCTGAAAGGTGGAAAAGGAAAGTCAGGCATCCTGGGAAGGAATGATTCCTGGAGTCAGGTGACTGACCAAAAGGTACTGAGCAAACCCCTGAGTGTCCAGCTGTGTGCTAGGGACTGGGGATGCAGGGATGACTAAGACAGAAGTCCCTGCTCTCATGGAGCCTGCCTGCCAGAGCAGTGGTCAGGGAAACCTCTCTAAGGGGATGACTCGTAAGCAGAAACTAGACTGCAGTGAGAGAGCAAGCCAGGCAATGTGTGGGGGTGAGAACAATACTGCCAGTTGTTAAAGGCTTCTGACATCACACAGCCTCCACAGCCAGCGTGTCTCAGTGGGAAGGGCAGAGGACTAGGAACCAGGCCTGGCTGGGTTTGAATATTGCCTCCCCTTTTTGCTAGACCCAGCACTTCATCCCCATTTTCAAATCTTTTTTCCACTGGCACCTTTTCCTCCAGTCAATGGAGACAACACTCAACTTGCTCTCTCTCACCTCTGCTGGTCCATTTGCCTTTAGAAAGCATCTCCTACTTCTTCGTGTGTCTACCCCTTATATACTCTTTGAAACTCAGTTTAGCATCACCTCCCTGTTCCCTGACCTCTTGGCTCACTGGTTCTCCTTCTCTGAGCTTCCACAGTCCTCATGTTCATCTCTCTCATGGCACTTGTCACACTGCCTTGTAATTGCCTGCTTATTCTGTCTTCCCTCTTAGACTAGAAACCACCTTCTAGCAGAAACGCTTTATTTTCTCTCCCCTAGCCCTTGTGTCTAGCACAGTTTGGGGCACACATTGGCTGCTCCATAAAAGCTTGAGCTGGGGAAAGGCTCTCTATAAGGTGAGTGAGTCATAGTAGAATGAATACCTCACTGCATCCTTCCAGGGATGCAACTAGACTCCAAGACCTGTAAGTGCTGTGATCTCTGGTGAATCTACTGTTGGTGGCAGGACATTTTCCCCCCCTCCTCATCATTTTTTTTCCTACAATCTACTGTTGGTGGCAGGACATTTTCCCCCCCTCCTCAAGGGAACCAACAGATGGATTGTGCACACTTTTCTGGAGAGAGCTATTAGCATGTCTCTGTGGCTTCATGCCATCTGTTTCAGACCAAAGTACAATATTCAACAGGAAAAAAGGCAGCACAGGGTAACTGGGTATCATGTTGGAGAACATGCAGGTCTCACTTGCTTTTCCTGTGGGGGGCAGTGCCTGCCGCCTGGGCTCCTCCCAGACCTGCTTCCTAGGTGCTCTGGCCACACGGCATCGCACATGCCTGATGGGACACCTCCGTGGCAGGACTGTGGCAGCCCCGGACACAGGGAGCCACTTGGTGGCTGCTACTGCAGCCACATAACAGCTCAGACTGTTTACTCATTAACATTCCACAGCAGAGGGAGGAGGTGCCAAGGAGCATCTGTTTATGCCACTGAATTGAGATCAATCATAAACCTCCTTGCTGTGAAGTGAAGAGAAACACCTGCATCACTGCCTTGCAGTGAGATTTTTAAAAAGTGTTGAAAATTGCAATTTATAATCAGATGCTGGTATATGCTGGGGACATGCTCATTATTTGATAAAAAGAAAAAAATATCAGACTAAAATGTAGGAAAAACACTGAAAACTAAGGGAGTACCCAAATTATATATAGAACTTGCATGGTGCTCTCATCTACATTATTTCATTTGACTGACTGATTGATTCAGTCATTCATTCAGAAATATTCCTACTGGTGCCAGCACTGTTTTAGACTCTGGAGATTCAGTGAAGAACAAAACAGTTGAAAACAATCCTTGCCCTCGTATAGCTTACATTTTTAGAGAAACTGCAGCTTCATGGGGGAGGTTTGATGCAGCTACATAGAGCACAGGGAGCAGAGCAGGGCTCCCGCTGAACAGGTAGCAAGCATCAGGTGAGTGGTTTCTTATGGAAACACTGCCAGGCACTGCTTTAAATATTTTACTACATGTATTAACTCGTGCAATCCTCAGAACAGCCCCACGAGGTGGAATCCTTATTCCCATTTTACAGATACGTTTCCTAAGGCTCAGAAGAGATTGAGCTGAGTATTACACAGCTGGTTAGTGGCGGGGTCTCACATTCTCCAGGCCCCCAGGTTCTGGGGCCAGCTCTGCCATGTGCAGTCAGGAGGCCAAGGACCTAAGCTTTATTAGATTCATTACAAAAAAAAATTCCAAGAAGATAAAGGGAAATAATATAGGTACGACAAGATGAATTTTCTTCTATTGTAGGAATCAGAGTAATAATAATAATAATAATAATAATAATAATAGAATTTTCTACATGAAGCATCTACAAAATACCAGCCTTTTTCAAGGTACTTAACTTTCCATTTAATCCTCATGATATTGTTGCAGGTAACTAATATTTTCAATTCAGTTAGAGAGATGAAGAAACTCTGGCTCTGACAGGTGAAGTAATTTGCGTAAAGCTTATAAATACATGGCAGAGCCAGGATTCAGACCCAGTCCATTGGCTGCAAACGCCTCCCACAGCCTGTCCATTGTACCACATGCCCCACTCCATTGCCCCTGTCCACCTGTCACTGGTGCTACAATTAGGGACAGGTGGACAGAGATGCAATAGCTGCAGAGATTTTTAAGGCCAGTTAAGGAAGGAGAAAGGCAAATCATTTAACACCAACTGAAGCCTAGTTTTGCTCCTCACTGTATTTTAAGTAAAATAAGAAAGCAAAAATATGCTAATTAAAATTAATTTTAGACTCATGTTCTAAAACTTGGAAGCTTGGAAGCAACCTATTCTCTTTTTTTTTTTTTTTTGGTAGCTGTATAAACCAAATCTGGACGTGCGGAAATGGCTTGTCCATAGTTTGCAACAGGGCTGGTCAACCAGAAAGATTAAAATCTAGGCCTTCAAAGCCCTCCCCTGGCACAGGCTTGGGGACAGGCCCAGGGTAGTGCTACCTGGCACAGGCAGGTCATCAGGTGCTTCTCATCAAATATTAGGGCTGGAAGACATGCGCAAGCACCCAACGGAGACCGGAGGAGCCAATCATCCCTCCTGGGCCTGGAGTACTCCTAACCCCGATACCTGCTTGGCTCTCGCCCTCACCACTCCCAGTCTGCTCACGTCTCTTCTTAGTATGAGCCCCTCCTGATTATAACCTCTACTCATACCTGCCCTTCACCTGCTCCAAAGCCCACAGAGCCAGCTCTACATTTTCTCTTTGTCCATACCACTTATCATTGTCTCACATGTTATTTCTATGTTGTTCTTTGTCTCCCTGCTAGGAAGTAAGCTCTTTGCAGGCAGGGATCTGTGTGTGTGTGTGTTGTATTCTCGGACACACCTCAGGCACCTAGAACAGAACCTGGGACACAGTGGGCCCTCAATAAATATCTATGGGACAAATATGCCCGGGAATTAGTGAGTTTAGTGCCTGGGGTTGCCATCACTTGTCCAGCATATCTTCATGAATGATACAGCACAGGGATTCTGAACACAGGGCTGGCAGCACAGGAACATGGTGCATTTCTGATGGAAACTGCTTCTCTTATTTAAAATGACACACAAGGAAATTTAAAGATCCTTTTTGGGTAAAGAAAACTATTCCTCACCATTATCCTGTTTTAAAAGTGGATAAAACATTCAATTGGGAAACTTAGCAACTGAATACATTCTAGGCTAGAATTGCATCTTCTAAATTGTAAGCAGATCCAGTGGCTACTGACCTTTGCTGCTTCTCAAAGTTCCTGGTGATCCCTGGGCTCATGAGGAGTAAGTGTAACTATTTCAGAACAGGGTCTACATTTTTAATTCACTTTGAATAACAACAAGGTTTATATTTGGTGGCAAGAATTTGTTTCTAACACTGTGTAATTAAAAGTAATTATTTATAGAAAAAAAATGCAAGAAGATTTGTATTCTAGAATAGTTAAACTCCATTTCCTATTTATAAGATTACAGTAGAAAAAGAAAGATGAAGCTATGAATTTCAAATATGTAGTTAATGAAAGCGAAAAAGTCTAAGTCTCCCCCACATGCAAGAAGCAGAACTAGTCCCATCTTTGGCTGTGTCCACGCCATGAAGACTGGCCACATGGAGTGCCTGATGCCATCCAAACGAGATGCCTGAGCTCCCATGATTTGTAGCTCACCTTTAATACTGTTCCTGTTGTAAAGTAGTCTATGCTTTTCATAAAAGAATATTTGGAAAAGAGAACAAATACTTTCTGAATCAGCGGTCGCCAACCTTTCAGACCTCATGGACCACCGGTTGGTGACCGCTGTTCTAAATCACTAACAGCCCCATCATCCTCCCAATTCACCGTGAAGTAGTTTGCTCTGTCCCTTAGGTTTCCTGTATGGGGACCCTCGCCCTCCTGAATCTCCACCAAACCAGGAGGCAGATCACGTCTGTCCATCAGAATGCAAGAGGTCTTTGGAGAACAGACTCACCCACTCCCCTTGGCCACCTCTTCTCCTCTGGCTCAGACAGACAGGAAGAAATGGACTTGCGCTGATCTGCATGGCTGTGTGTGCACCAGGCTCCCTAAAGCTAATCACCTGAGTAACATGGAATCTTGACCATTCCATGTGAAGGCCATCACTATATTCCAGCCAGCAGCATATCAGACCTCTTTGAAAGGCACCACCCCACCCGCCACCCCATGGCAGCTTCTCAGTGTCACCTGAAGAGTTACGAGAGAACAGTGCTTCCACAGGTGCTCTGGAACATCTGGCGGCTGGTCCAACCCTTTCTGTAAAGGAAGGGAAGCAGGTGGAAAAAAGAGGGCTTACCTGAGGGTACAGCAGCAGTGCCAAAAGATACAGAACCAAACATGTCTGCACTCGCCGGAAGTGTCTGAGATGAAGAAGGGATAAAGGCATCACCTGGAGTTGCAGGAGTCTGTCAGAAAGAGGGGGAGGATGCATGAGGCTCCTGGGAGACCTGGCTCAGCGATCATCCAGGATGGGAGGCAGCTGGTGCAGGAACGTGTGTGTGTGTGTGTGTGTGTGTGTGTGTGTTTGCGGGTAAGGGGGATGCTGCAGAAACCAGCCAGGGTCCGGCCATTTAGGTAGTGTGCAAACCACTAGCTGGTTACACAGATTATCTGTAAAATGGGCAAAGTGATACCTACTCCTAGAGCGACTATGAGGATTAACTGAGGTCATGCATTCAAATCACTCAGCACCATGCTGAGGCATATAGTAGGTGCTCAGCAAACGAAGGCCAGTATTGTGACTATTTAGTTTGAGCCCCTACCCCTTAGGGGTGTTTTCAGGCCTTCAAATTATCCCATAATACCTGGCTTTCCTCCTTTAGATGCAGTCAATCCAAATTGACATAATCCACTCAGAATCTACTACTGTGCACCCACCAGCTCTGGGCTTGTCACTTAAAACAGTCAGTAAATAGTTGTTGACGAAATGAACAAATAAAGTTTAGGAACTGGAGCAGAGGTCCTTGTATCTTGGTGCCTCCCTGAATCTTGCCTGAATATTCACTTGCAAGAAGAAGTGTAGATTTCCAAGAAGATACTTTAAAAAAAAATGCCTGAGCTGGAAACTGCATAGTGCCTGGCCCAGGCTGGGGTTCCAGGAAGGTCTGTGGTGTGAACTGTTGGGGAAGGTGAGGGGCACTGAATTAAAGCCATCAGTGTGCAGTTTCTTTTTAAAGGTCCTCCCCTATTTACAGAGGCCCTTTGCCTACAGTGTATATCTGTTCAGTGACATAACATTCTTATACACCCCCCCCCCACACACACACACCCTGAGGATAGACTGGGGCAAGCAATTAATCCTGAAACCATGGCGATTAGACAAGGCCGTTTAGACTAGCAGCTTGTGAGAAGAAGGGCATTGTTCTGAGGATAATTAAATACCCATTTGGACTGCACTGGGGTTCAGGGCCAGGAACACAGCCATGAGATGCTGCCGTAAGCACTTTTAAACACAATCAACATCATTCCCTTTTTCCCTACGTGGTGAGTCACATGCCCTCTATGGGCCTCAGTCTGCTCATCTGTAAAATGAAGGGAATAAGGTTAGAAGATCCCTTCTGGCCTTTCTAGCTCCATAGCCCAGGGTTCTGACATTCCCAGTGCCCAGGACACAGCTGTTTCGCCCAGGGATGGAGCAGGGATGAGACTGGCTAGAGCTGCCCGGCTTCCCTGGAGACAGGAGCTGCTGTCCCCGCCTTCATGGCTGCTCTGGGCATCAGGTGTTGGGGGCAGAACAGCTGTGTCTAGATTCCCTGGCGGCAGCTGGGGGCAGCAGGGTCTCATGCCATCTGTCCTCAGTGGTGAGGTTACAGCCTTTTCTCTGTGAGGCGCATCTCGCCAATAAACCACAGCACCATCCCTGGGTTTGCACAACTGCGCAGTGCCCTGGGGAGCTGCCCTCTGCCAGCAGCTTCAGCTGGTGCAGCTGTGCTGACTGAGCCCCACCCACCTCAGGGAGTGGAGAGTGGGGGGAGGAGCTGAAGGGGCCATCTAGCTGGCTCTGTTTGCAGTGGCTGCAGGGTGGCCTTTGAATGCACCCAGTTCTCTGGGTTTCTATTTGGTTTTGGTTTTAATACCCTTTTTTCTTCTTTTCATTTTCAAATGAGGGCTTCCTGCAACCTCTGTCTCCCTGCCAGCAACGACTGAGGTGCCTGCTGAACCTGGAGCTGGAAATCAAGCTTTGTGAGCTCAGTAAAGCCAGCAGGAAGGTGGGAGAAAGAGAGGAAAGAAAAAGATAGAGAGAGAAAGAGAGAGAGAGAGAGAGAGAGAGAGAAAATCAGAAAGAAAGGAGAGAGGGAAAGGAAGAAAGGGTGGGGAGAAGATGCTTCCTTTACTGGGCTGACCACCTGGCCATGCGGGTAGGTGCTGTCAGATGCCTCATGGCCTTGCTGTCCTGTTGAGTTTCCTGCCCTATTCCCAGCTAGGTAATGTGCTCCTGCAGGCAGCGGCCACATCCCATTCATGTCTCCGCTGCCCAGCATAACAGCAAGTCCCCAGGTGACCTGTAATTGCTAATGCACGGATGTATCTATTTCTCAAAACAGAAGCCTGTATCATAACTCCTCTTAAAAGATAGCCTAGGAAATTGAGATTTCGAATCACTAGTTATTTTTCCCAGATCACACAGCTTGAAGGAGCCAGGGCTGACCCCCGCCATCAGGCCTCTGCTACAAAGCGCACATGCTTTTCCCTGGGAGACCGAAGAAGGGAAGGACAGGGATGCCGGGCACAGAGGGCAGTGCATACTTACGGGGGGAGAGGTTATATCAGGAGGGGTGGACATGTCCCCAAAAAGTTCTAATTGGGTCACAGCCTGAAAAGACATAAAAGATAATGATGTCACCAGGAGGAATACTGCTGCTGCGGGGGTACTTCTTGAAACACAGCATCCTAGGAGGACGAGTATTTCTCTTTCTCAACATCCCTACATAAATAATAAGCCCAGTTGGTCATTGCTACACCTCATGACCCTAGAGACAGCACCTGGGATGCCGCCAGAATCAATTCTTGCTTCAATGTGTCTGGCTGTTTATCCAGACTCAGTCCAGGAGATCTGCGCTTGGCCGCCTCCCATCAGCAATATAAGACCCTTCACATGTATTTACCACTGATGCCAGCGCTGTCTCCCTTCTCCAGGAGATAACACAAGAAGGCAGTCACATCATTGGTTTTTCTTTCATGCGTTTGTTCACTCGTATACTTAGCCCTTCACACACTAAGTACAGTAAGACAGACTTCATGGCCACCTCTCCATGCATGCCCCCAACAACAGTGACCCTGAGAAGAAGGCATCATCATCATTCTCATTTCTACAGATGAGTAAACTGAGCCTCACAGAGGTGATCTCACAGAGGCTAAGACTTAAGTTTTCTCCACGTGGGGTATGTAGTCAGATAACAGTCCCTGAAAATGTCTGTCTTGAGAATAAAAAATATAGTTGGAGGAAAAGAAATCATAGTATTTAATACCAGGAAGGGCATCAGAAACAGCCCAGTGTATACACTATTAATCAGTCCTCAGAACTCCATGGCTGCAGACACTGTGTCATCTACATTCCCCTTCCATCACCCAGGAGTGTCTGAGTGACGCCAGCCAGTAGCTGTGGAGGAACCCTTTAAGATACACTTAGAAATGAATCTGCAGACTCTCCCAGCTGCAGAGACCATGGGGAGTCCCCGGCCAGGATCCCAGTGGCCTGACTTAAAGTACATAATCATATGCTTTGTGCAAACCTGCCCACTGAGGGAAAAACACTCTGCTCCTCTTTGGATTGCACAATTCTTATCAGGGGAACCTAAAACCACTCAATAGAAAAAACAGGGCGCATTCGCCTGCTTGCCATGCAGGGCCCCTGCACCTGAATTCCTATCTCTACAACTCACCATGAAGAAGGGAACGCTCTCTCCTACAGAAAGGTGAGGGGTTCTGGCTGCTGGACAAGGTGTCCACCTGGGCATATGTTTGGGTTCTATCACCTCCGATCTATCTCTGCCACTCCTCAGAGCTGCAGTTCCCTCACCTGGGCAATGGGGATGGTAGTATCTCCTTTGCAGATTTATTGACAACACTAATAGCAGGACTTTCTTTGGAGTTCGGCGAAGCCCGGTTTAACAGGTACCAAAGGCTCTTTTGGCTGAAAGCAGCTTAGCCTGGCTAACTCACATTCAACTCTTCCCTTTAAGCTTTCAGATGAGCAGTAGTGCCTGGCATAAAGCATGGCCCTGTGCATGGTGATTTCCTTCCCAACCATGCAATGCTTTTCCCGTACACACCGGATGAGTGGTAGGTGGTGGGCACTGTGCTAGGTGCTGGGAACAGAATAACGAGAAATGCCAAGTTCCTGCCTGCAGGGAGCTTACAGTCTGGTGGGACAACCCATAGACAGAGTTAATTTCAAGGCGTTGTGGCAGGAATGGCAAGAGACGTCTCCATGGGCCAGCCTAGGAGAGACCAGCCAGCTTTTGGCAAAGAAGCTCAATGAAGGTTTTCTCAAAGAAACAGCCCTGATCTGAGTCCTGAAGAAGAGGAGCAGTCACCCAGGCAACCAGGATGAGGAGGGGCCATCCGGGCAGATGGAAATACAGGAGCAAGATGGGTAGCGGCCCCAGGCTATCTAGCAGTTTGGTTGAACCAGCAAGGGTGGAGAGAGGAGCAGGAGAGGAGACCAGCGAAGGGGACAGGGCCCAGCTCGTGTGGGACTCAGCACATTTCAGTCTTTTCTGCCCACTCTCTACCAACCTGATTCTCTCCCAGAGGATAATGGTCCAAGGTAACGAGATGGTAACAGGGTGGCCAGCATGCTGGGTGCTCTCCCAAATCTGGCTGGACCCTAAATACTCCTTGTTTCCTTAGCTTGCTTCCATCATTTTACATTATTTGGTGAAACTATGCCAATCCTTTAGGCTTTCTCTCAAATTCACAGGAGTAATAACTCTAACTCAAATGAAGCTTCTGGGCTTCCTACAATTGGAACTCGGTGCTATTAAAATGGTCCCCACTATCTTCACTGGTAGGAAAATATTAAAATAAAGTTAATAATTAAGTTTCACAATTTACATTTCAAATGTGTTGACCTCAGGGCACACTGTTGCTAACATCGTTCATATAATTTACTGGCTCATTTTCTCCTTAAACACAACTTTATTTATTTATTTATTTATTTATTTATTTATTTATTTATTTCCGTTTTTAAAGATGAAAACACAACGTTTAAAATAACTCTCGTTCTTGAGATGTAGACTTCCCCCTGCCTGATGGTTTTCACTCAAGGACTGAATGAGAAAAGCATGCAGAGGCATAACACATAGATTGTTATTTCATTCCATTGGACTTGCTGTTTAAATGGAACCTTGAGTTAATTTAAATTTTATATAAAAATGGACTCTTAGGCCATATAATTGAAAATAATTCTAATGGCTATATGTGATTGAGAATCTGGAGTAACATCTATTTTAACAACTTCCTTCCCCATGTTAACCCCAGACCTTTTATTTGTAACCTAACAAACCACATTCCTTCAAATAAGATTGTCATAATGAATCACTTAAGGTTCTGAAGAGAATAAAACTAACCGTCCACATTTGTCAAACATTGTACAGTTTACAATACACTTGGTGATACGTTATCATTGCGTTTGATGCTCACCGAGCCCCATGACATCGGCAGCACAGGTGTCTCTCTCATTGACTGGATTTTGCAGATGAGCTAACTGAGACCAAGAGGTTAAGTGACTTGCCTCTGACCCATGAGCTAACAGAGCTGGGCTTGACCCACAGCCTGAGCAGCATCTCATTTATCTGTCACGTCACAGAGCCTTGGTTACCTTCCTACCCAGTGGAAGTCCAGCTCCATTGTGCTCTCTAACCGGCAGCCGAGCTCCTAAATGGTCTGCCACGAGTCACATCCATCTGAAGACATCACCTGGAAGGCCGGCTTAAGGTGCCTCCTTGCCTTTCCATTACTAGCACTTCAGACATATTCAGGCGAAGAAAGACTTGGCAGTTGCTGGCAGATTCTGCCCCTTCTTTAGGCCTGGCATTGTCCAGGGTAAGAAGAGTGACAGCGGAAGATGCCAAGGCCAGAGACGGAGAGGATGGGTAGCTTGGGTGTTGATGGGGCATCCCATCAATGTCTGCATCAGGCCTGTCCCTCCACAGCCATCCTTTGATATGAACAAGTGATGTTTTCACAAGAGTATCTGCCATGTTACACAACCACTATTCCAAGGTTAGCCTCTGGGTCCTTTGTTCAACTAGAACGCATGGGCCACGAAGTTTCAATCGCACTGTACGTGCGTGCCCGCACGTGGTATTTTGTGGAAGAGCCACACTCAAGGGGCCAAAGAGCCACATGTGGCTCACGAGCTGCAGTTTTCCGACCACTGAACTAGACTATGGCAACTAGACTCCTAGCCCCTCCTACAGAGAAATTCTGAAGGCACCACTGCTGAAGGCTGAGATGTCCTTGACCGACCCCAAGTCACATTCTTACTACCTATGTTTGGAATCAGGAGGTCCTTCATTTAGGAAAAGTATGGCACATCAGCTACTGTGCCAAGAGCAGGGAATACAGGGAAGAATGAGGCACGTTCCTGCTCCTACTCTCATGAGCTGGTTACCTGAAGGAAAAGCAGGCCTACAGACACAATCAGGGTAGTGCCATGAGCCCAGAAGCACAAGGGCTATAAAAGGAAAGGCCACCTCAGGCCTTTGCACATGCTTTCCTCCTACCTAGAACACCAATTCCTTCCCCCATTGCCTGTCCACCCATCATCTTTCAGGGGACAAATTAGAGGACTTTTCCTCCCCACTGGGAAATGTCTCCTACTCAGTTTGCACCCCATTGCACTACTCAGAACAGCTGGGTGATACTTTTATTTCAGTGGTCTCAACCTTGGATGCACACTGAAATCACCAGGGGGAAAATACTGATGCCTTCTTCACACCCCAGGAGATTCTGTACAGCCTAGAACCTAAAACTTTAAAAGCTCTCCTGGTGATTCTAATTTGCAGCCAAGGTCAAAAACCCTAGAAGCCTCCCAAACACCCTCAGGGGTGATCATATTCATTGGCCTATATATCAGCCAAGCTGTATACTAGTAAATATTGGTTGTAAACCAGTACATCTACTTCAGGGTATGCTGACTGTAGAACAGTCTTGCGTGTCTTTTATTCCCAATGGGGCACTTAGCACATGCTGTTTCTGTGTTTGAATACCCACTACACTGTCACACTATCTACATTCCCCTAGGCCTGTGGTAGGCAAACCGCGGCTCACGAGCCACATGCTGCTCTTTGGCCCCTTGAGTGTGGCTCTTCCACAAAATACCACGTGTGGGCACACACGTACAGTGCGATTGAAACTTCGTGGCCCATGCCCAGAAGTTGGTTTTCGGCCTGGGCAAGTCTATTTTGAAGAAGTGGCGTTAGAAGAAGTGGGGGTGGACATATAGAGAGGATGAACGAAAGGAGATAGACAAAACAAGTATACAAGACAAGTGTGGATGGGAGAGTTGGAAGGGGTCGACCTCAGCAAACGTACCTCAATCAGATTGAGGATGTTTTTAGAAAAGACCAGCTTAGGAGTACCCTAATTAAGTTAATAACAATGTACCTACCTATATAGTTTAAGTTTAAAAAAATTGGCTCTCAAAAGAAATTTCAATCGTTGTACTGTTGATATTTGGCTCTGTTGACTAATGAGTTTGCTGACCACTGCTCTAGGCCACCCCACCATACCCTACTCTTCCCTCCCCTACCTTCCCTACCCACCCGACCTTATCCTATCCTATGCTATGCAGTGTTGCACTGTATTGTAGTATGAGCGTCTTCCTCTCCACTAAACCTCCAGCCATTTATTGGAATGCCTGGGACCTGTTAGGTGCTCAAAAAATATTTGTTGAATGAAATGAAGGAGTATCACTTCCTGTCCAATACACCCTCTTTCACATACACATGCACACATGCACACACACATGCACACATGTGCACACACACATACATAAACAGTTATTATTTGACCCTATTGCAGGGCCCACCAGGACTCATCCTGGGAACACTAGAACAGAGCCGAGACAAGCTCCTGCTTCTCACGCAGGCTGGGTGGGGATGCTATGGGATGCATGTCAGTGACCAGAACAACCCTCACTTAAGAGCCTGGAGGCCTTACCTTCGTTGCCTCAAGAATCTCATCAATGTCCGCAGGCAGGTTTCTGTTCTGTAAGCACAAGGCATGACTATGAGCGTGAAATGAACGATGGGCAATGACATGAAACAGCTCACAGGGCCCTTGCACTCTTACCGGGGTGGCCGCAGCAAAGCGTTCTTCAAAGTCCTCCATCGGCTGGCCATTCTGCAAGTGGAAGGGGTGATGAATGAGGATGAAGTGAAGGACACACACACGATATGGATTAATGAGTTTGATGAGGATGGTATCTACGGCTTATGCTCCCATGGCCTCAGTGGCAGAAGCTGTTGCCAACCTTCTGCGAAAACCCTGGAATGTGTTCCCAGCATAAGCAGATGACCAAACAGAGGACTGATTAGGACATACAGCAGTGGTTCAAAATTCATCTTTCCGAAATTACAGACATTACCCAGCCAGTCTCAACAGTGGCAACAGATAAGACCATGTTTACCCTTGAGATTTTTGTTTTAAAAGACAAAAATGTCATCTGCTTTAGCAGACCGAAGTCTTTAGAGCCGCCTGCAAACAGCTGGTTTTGTAGGTGCCTTTGTGCCCACTGTCCCCTCTGCTTGAAATCTCTTCCCTTCACCCCTGCATGTTCAGAACTCATCTAATTCCTCAGACCCTGCTGAAGGGCTACCTCTTCCATGAAGCCTTCCCTGATCTTCTGAGTTGAAACTCCTCCTCTGAGAATAACAGCACATCATCTGTGCTGACCCCATGGTGAGCTTCCCGAAACAGGGACCGCGCTGTATTTACTTTTGAATCCCCAGAGCTAACAGAGGGTCTGGCACACAGCAGTGTCCAACAACACATGAATGAATGCATGTTTTACAAGCAGCTGGTTGTTGACCAGATCAAATTGTTTTAATTTTTTATTTTGTTGTTTATAACTGTCGCGTGTTTCACTAAACTACTCCAAAATACTGCTGTCTCAGGACCCATTTTGTGTGGCCAAGTGGCCTGCAGGGGCCTTAAACTGGCTCCAACCCCTGTGGGGAGGCATGTCCCATGAGGATTCCCATGGTAGGCAGTCTGCCCACCACCCAGGGCCTTCCCTCCCCTTGTTACCTCTTACATAAGACCCCAAGCCCTGCTGTGCTTGGTTTGAGTGGCCTAATCCAGCCTTAGCCCAGGAAATGCAGGCACTTCACCCACGGGCCTAATAAAGGCATGTGCCTTAGGTCCTGTGGCTCTCTCAGGCCAGCCGCCTTGACCTCTCCCAGTGACCCCTCCTCCTGGGCCTGTGACTAATAAGCTTCTCTACTTCAATTCTCTTGTGGTCTTTGTTGAACTGCGGCCCTCCATCTGACGCCCCAGGGCTCAACTTAATAAATGTTAATTTAACAAAGTCACCACAATAAGATTTACTATAGATAATATATAATATCTCTGTAAATAGATCTATCACCTTATTTGGTCTATATTATGAGCTAATTATTCTTTGGATGATTTCCAAGTACTATAACATTAATATAAATCTGATACTATTGACATTACAATGAGTTATAATGCACAGGAATCATGGTATCATTTCCTAATTTTTAGGAGAGCTGGCTGTCGGCAATAGAGGAATGGAGAAACCATCACCCAATAGCCTCATAATACTCATCTGTCAAAACTCACTCTCACCCTCGGTGGCAAACGTGATGTTCTGCCACTCAGCCTCAGCGACAAGGCTGCAAAGCAGAGCCGGGGAACCAGCGTGCCCACCACAGCGGGCCTTGGGACCAACCATCAGCCAACTCTGTCATCAACCATTGGCTTCCGCCAGGCACTGGCTCCCCACTAGTCAACTGTGGCTAAGAGCAGAGGACGAGCAACCACATAGGATAACCACATACATTATTATTATTATTTGGCCAGCGGTGGGGAGAGACAGGGAGACAATATTAGTTTAAGCGATCCTGTAATCTGTGGAGTGGCCTAAAAGGTTAAGGTTATGTCGCTACATCCTTTATAAATTCGCACACTTCTTGGGATTTATGGCACAGCCCCTACCAACTAGCTCTGGGTCATAACTTTTAATAAAAACATTTTTTAGTGTCCAAAATCTCATTACATCTGTCCAATATAAAGAAGCAAATAGCTTCAGAGCATGATGGATGCATTAAATAAATTTGAAAAACAGCCTGTGGTCCAGTCTCACAAACCCCCCACCACCTAATGAAAACGCGTGAGGATAACCAGTGCTGGTGTGAGCCCGTCGCTGTCCTGGTGACAGAGAGGTGGCCTTTGGTGAGCTGTGGAGCTGGGGTGTGAGGAGGCGATTTCATTCATCCAGATGGAGCTGGAGACCAAATGCATGGGAGCCAATGCCTCTCTCTGGAGTCCCACAGACACAGACTGAATCCTGGCTGCGCAGTGTGCTGGCCGCATGACCCTCACAGTTTTCTCATTTTTAAAGTGGGGATGATAATCTCTGGAGTCCCACAGACACAGACTGAATCCTGGCTGCTCAGTGTGCTGGCCGCGTGACCCTCACAACCCAATTAGCCTCAGTTTTCTCATTTTTAAAGTGGGGATGATAACGATGACATCCTCTCAGAGGATGAACTGAGATGCGGGTGCAAAGTCTTGTTTGGTGTTTGGCACATAGTAGGTGCTCAATAAATAGTAGTTATTATTAGTATCTCTTCATTCTGTTTCTTTTGACTCATTTTTGCAACGCACAGTGCTTAATGCTAGAAAACTGTTATTATGTAATGTTTGGGGAAAAGAAAGAGGAGGAAGAAACAAATACCCTGCCAGAGCCCCTGTTTAGAAATAGCCCTGCCTGACAGCACAGGCCAGACCGGTGTCAGAGGATGCCCAACACTTCTTCGCCTTAGCTCTGAACCTCTCTGTCTAGTCTTGACTCCATCTTCTCCCTCTCATCTCAGTTCTGGCTATAGTATTGTCTGATCATCCTCTTCCCATCCATACATTTTGTCCCTGGCTCCTGTGTTCCCTTCCTGGTTGCCCCTGACTCAGTAATTTCTCAGAGCTCCTTCCTCCCACACATGGCAACCTGTGGTAATGCCCAGTGCACCACATCCGGCCCATATACTCTCTCCCAGCTGCTTCTCATGGGCAGGACCTGGAACCCATTCCCTGGTCTCCCCACACCCTTGGCTCTTGCTTTACTTGCAGTTACTACTAGAGTTCTAGTTCACTTAGCCCCATATAAAGAAGCAAATGGCTCCAGAGCAGGATTATTCCCAGGCCTTTCGTTCTTATAGATATCTTTCCCGTACTTACTATCATAGCATGCACGCAGCTTTCTGCTCTGCTTTCAGAACATCAACCTTACACCAAATTTCACTCACAACTTAAACTTCCAGGGAGGATTCAAAGGAAGAAATTCCCATTTTGTTTCAACCCAGTTCTATCCTGAATCTTCATTAAGACATTAAAGTAAAGCTCCCACAGGGAGTTTTATCTCCCCATACTCTCTTTTAGGAGCAGTGGGAACAGAATTGTCGCATAACTGAGTAGGTAACTATTAAGTTCAAATTCCTGTTACTCTTGCAGCCAAAGTGACAGTGGATGAGGTAGGACTTGGGCTGAAGAAAAAAGATGAAAACTTACTATGGCTGCCACATCAGAACCCTGCAGGGGCTCGCACCCCTGGCTGCACAATGCGATCCTTTGGGGGAGCTTTTGAAAACCTACCCATGCCTGAGCCCCACCATCAGAAATTTGGACTCTATCGGTCTGGGGCAGGGCTCTGGCATCTGTAGGTTTGTAAAAGCTCCCCACGTAATACTAATGCGCAGCCAAATCTGCTGATCACTGTGCTGGGGAATGGACTCTCTGCAGGAATAATTAGTGAAAATCCCACTGGGAAAACGAAAGGCGTCTTGATTGATTATGTAATTGACTAATTAATTTCTTCAACAAACATTCACTGGGCTCTCTCCACATGCCATGTCCTGGCGAGGCACTGGAGCTACAGAGATGAGTAATGTCCGGCCCCTGCTCTCCTGAAGCTCAGAGTAAGCCAGAATATGTCGTCATTCTAGCTTGGGGGTGGGTGGGGTGGGTAGGAGTGGAACAGGGAGGACACACGGCTTCTAGATCTCAACTCAGAACTCAGGCCACTGCTGCAAAAGGATGAATTCAATTATCCATTTAGAAGGTTCAGGAGAAATGGATGAACTTAAGTGATTTGTAATTGCACCACTGGTGGGTACTCCTAAGGCACAGAGTGATTCCAGGCATTTGAATGCACAGGCCTTTCCTTGGGAAGTGATTGAAGAGGGAAGACACCTGCTAATGAAGACTAATCCCTCTGGGGACCTAGGAGTCTATCACCTTTAGCCAAGAGCGAACAGCCTCATTCCCACTGCTTGGCAGAGAGAGACAGGTAAACCTGTTCCGTAATCGAAGAACCAAGGAGCAGAGATTGAGGAATAGAAACTATAATGTTAATAAACGATTTCCCCCAAGAGCAAAGCTGTGGATTAGGACTCGCTGTGATGGTGCAAAGTTCCAAATCTGCACTGTCCCAGGAGGTAGCCAGTAGCTGCATTGTGGCTACTGTGTGTCAAAGCCTGGATCCAAGAGAGGACTTGGTGCCGCTTTGAGGATTGGTCTCTATAATGACTGAAGACTTGCCTTTCATTACTCAAAGCTAGCTGGGCCTCACTTTAGCAGCTAAAAGCCCTCCTTCCCCCAGCTACCATGTTAGGAAGGTCCCAAAGGTTGTCCAGAAGGTTAGAGGGTGGAGGGAAATGCCTAGACCTTATAACGAAAGTTACATCTTCCCTTTGAAGTGCACGCAGGTGTAATATCTCCACAAATCCTTGGGCAATGGAATATTTACACCTGGCTTCCTAAAAATTAGGCTGGTCCTTGAAATTGCCTTTCTTAAAATGCAAAGAGAAAGTCAAGATGGGGAATGGTGGTGAAAGGGAGTTGCTGGGGCATTAGGGAGGTGTTTTGAGAAAGGCAGGCCCCTGGACACAGGGCTCTAAGCTGACCTGAACAAGCTCACATGAATACACAGGTGGCAGCTGTGGCTAAGGAATCTGACTCTAGATTTTGAGTTTCCCAACTTTAGTCTCATACCAAGAAAATGAATTTGCTTGCATTTGAAAGCAATGGATACTTTAAAGGAGAGATTTGATGTTTTTAGGAGATGCGGGGTAGGGGAGTGGAGAGAAGTTAGAAACAGCAGCTGT